AGGAAGACCCTCCGAGGATGGCTTTGCCTCCTCATCATGCTCTTCAGGTAGCACCAAGCTCCTTGGAAGCTTCTGTTCCTCTAAGATGCTGAAATATTTCATCTCCATTTTTGAGAAGCATTCTTCCAGTTTCCTCTCCAACACCATGTAGAGCCTTTGGGCTTCTGGGTCCTTGGGCAGCATCCGCTCTGCTTGTGTCTGTGCAGGAGGGGGACAGCTCAATAGCTTCTCTATCTTTTGTTCCAGATAAGCCAGGACAGCTGAATTAAACCCATACAGGGGAGTGGATGGATCCAGCTTGCTTCCACTGATAGGGCTTTTAGGGATTTCTGTATGTGTCTCCTCAGTGTGCAGGCTTTCTTTCTTCTGCTTTCCTTTCCTAGAGACCCCTTGGCTTGGGGGCTCTGTTGGGGATGAGAGCCTTTCGGTTTCTTTGTCAGCCTGGAGTCCACATTCATCAGGCAGGATCCCCTGGCACTCACCAGTGACATCTTCACCAATTTCCTGAATTTTACCCAGGAGGTTCACATCCCTTTTGCCAGCAGCTGCTGCCTGCTCATTGTCCAGAGGATGCCCATGCGGTTCTCCACTCAGGTCTCCAGAAGTCTCTTGTTTTTCCACTGTGGCGACTGAATCCCATTCAACCACAGTGTCTTGAGAACTCTCTGCCAGGGCTTTCTGTCTGTCACTGGTGTCTTTACCTCTCTCTGCTGAGACTTTCATTGGTGGCTTTTTATCAAGAAGTTTTGCATTCTGTGTGTTACTGGTATCTTCTGTTCTCTCTACCAATGGTTTCTGAGGCTGCTTTTTATCTGCTACCCTTTTCCCACTGGGGGATTTACCAGGGTCTACATGGGATTTCCAAGACAGCTTTTCAGCTGACAGCTTCCCATCCTTTTTCCTACTCAAATCTTTATCACATTCTTCTTGAGATTTCCTTTCAGAAGAAGCCTTGGCCCCAAGTTTTATGTCGCCTAAAGATTGTTCCATCTTTAGAGTTGCTTTTTCCTTCAACTTGTGCAGTTCTTTTTGCATTACCTCATTTGCTGCAAGAAGCATCTTGTATTTGTGTTCAATGCTTTGGACGTGATCCTCCAGAGATGCCTTTGTCTCATTAAGCATCTGTACTTCCTTTTGAAGGTTCACATACTGAGTTTCTTGCTTCCTGGACTCCTGGAGTGCTAAGTTATCATACTTTGCTTGCAGGCCATGGCATTGTTTATTTAGCAGGCTGAAGGCTTTGGTGAGATTGACCACCATTGTCACTATATATTTAACGGCAACAGCTTCAGCTTTGTTGAACAAGGTGCACGCTACAAATTCCTGTAACATGGTAAGGAGCTCAGAAGTCCTGGCGAAAGTTTCAGATTCATCTTCTAGCATCTGTTCAGGGCTTAAGGGCTGGGCTTCCTGAGGTTTCTGGACAACTTTCTCCCGCCATGCTCTCCACATGCCGGTTTTGAGAATAACTGGGAAAGCAAGATACACAAACGTGAAAGAATTAGGGTCTATAATGAAAGGATCAATGGTTTTGTGGTTAAGGCTCTGGGCTAGAACTTCACTTTCGGCTTCAATTGAAGTTCTGGCTTCAATTTATGGCTCCGTCACAAACTCTCTGTGCAACATTAGGCTAGATCATATGGGGATTTTTGATGGGGAGGCCACTCCAAGATTTTGGAAAGTAGTTGTGGGCTGCACTCTTCCATGATATTAAGGGAGGAGATGTGAGGTTTGGAATGGAGGTTGGGTGCAGAAGGGAGCTTGGGGTAAGGGACTGGGGTGCAGGAGGTAGATGGGAGTCTGGGAGGGAGTTGGGATGAAGCCCTAGGGCTTGTGACCTAGGGCAGGGGACTGGAGTGCAGGGGTTTGGGATGTGACCTAGAGTAGGAGGGGATAGAGATCTGGAGTAGGAGACTGAGGTGCCAGATCTGGGAGGGGATATTGGTGTAAGAGGGGGATGGAGGGTTTGGGTATCTTGAGTGTGGGGATAGAGATTTGGGGCAGGAAAGGGATGGGGTGACAGAAGCAGGCTATGGCCAAGAGACTTACTTGTCAGGTGCCAAACTAGCTTGCCTGCACAGCTTAAAATGTTTCCCAGCCAACCAGCCTATGTGCTTCATGAATAATTGAACCCAGGAGAGGGAGCGTGATTCTTTTTAGCTGCCTGTTATTCTAATAAGCAGCTCCCATTGGTTGCTTTCTGCCAGAAACCGGCCAATGGGAATGTGCTGGGGGCAGGGCGGCTCCTAAAACTTCCCCCCTTCCCTCCAGTTTTAAAACTTAAACGGAGCCCTGCAGCCGCGTTTCTGCACGGGACTGCGGGACAAGCTGGGCAGCCTGCCTGGGGCTCCCCACTGCCTCCGGGGGCCAGATCCGGTGGCTTGGTGGGCCGAATCTGGCCCATGGGCCATATTTTGCCCAGGCCTGGGCTAGATTCTTCACCACTCAGTCCCCCGTATTTAAAATAGGGATAATAATCGTTTCTGTATCTAGCTTGTCTATTTAGTTTTTCCCTGACTGGGAAAACATTTTGGGTGCTTTCAATAAAGATGTATGGTCAGCTAGAAAGCAGATTGAAATACCTCATGCTTTTGAAATTTTGGCTCCATATGCACCAGATCTTTGATTCTCCAAATTAATCAGAAATATGAATTTCCCTCTTCTTTTCTCATTCCAAGACATTTGAAAAACTTACTTGATTTACTTCTCTTTTTCCTTTTTTTTACCACAAGAGGTGTGCAAAGATCAATCAGCTTCATGATACAACCTTCTGTGTAATCAAGGGAAGTCAGCAGCTTGGTCTCCATATCATGGACCCACTGAGCAGTGGAGATGTTTCCTACTTGTTCTTTGCCTTCTGACAACATTTCATCTGGAAAAGAGCCAAAGCAAAAAGGGCAATGAAGCTCATGTTAATTATCTTCCAACGGAAAATCAAGCCCTACTTGTTAAATGACATGGGAGACCTCACCTTGTTGCCTAACAATTTATATATGACAGGTCTACAATCAGGGGTGGCCACACAATGGTCTCCAAGCTGCACAAGGAAGTAACATATCACACAAACACAAGAAAATACATAGGGAGGTAGAGACAGCCATGTACAGGGCTGTTGCTAGGCCTACACAAAATACATGGCTGCATAGGGCACCTGAAAATTTAGGGCACCAAATTTTCAGATGCCCCTATGTAGCTGAGTGTACTTGTGTCATGGCTCCTTCCCCACTCTGGCACGATGAATGCAGAAGTGGGGGCCCGCAAAAGTACCACAAAACCTTATTTTTCCAGGCTTTGATATCAAACTTCCCCCCAAAATCTTAAAAACCTAGATTTTGAGGATAAAATCCAATGCCACCACCCAAGTAATGATAAGAACACAAGGTGAGAGATCACTTAGGAAATCTCACCTCTAAAGTACAAACCAGGACACAAAAATTAACCAGTACCAGGTTAAGAAAAAGAAAAGAGAAAGAACTTTTATTATCACCACAATATTCTTGTTGCAATCATAACAACTAGATGGCAGAGTCACAAAGTAATATGCTCATGGGGAATTCCACCATGGGCCCAAACTTAGTTGCAAAAGAGAGAAAACCCCATTTTAAATGCACAGACATCAGATCCCATTTCCCAAACCATAAAACAATAAAACGTAATGGATTTATCTAAGCTTTACCCCACTTACAGAAGAATGAAGAGTTTATTCTTGGAGGAAGACATTCTGTCTGATTCCCTCAGTAGCTGGAGAGAAACTTGCCCAGGTCAAAGGAGAGGGAAAAACCAAAAATTCCTTTGTCCCAGTTTGAAATTCTTACCTACATTCCTATTGGCCAACTCCACCTGGGTCAGGTATAGTTAACCCCTTAGTCCCCAGGCTGCTGGCCACCTCTCATGGTCGTGACAACTTGTATGCCCAGAGTACAGTCCTGTCACCACTGCAGCCTGGCTCCTCCCTGGCCTCTCCCCTGACTGCTCTCTCCCGCCCACAGCAATAGAGTTTGTCCCTGCCCGCCCCCATCCAAGTGTTCCTCTGGGCCAGCATCTAGCTGGACTGGGTGCTCAAAGGAGCTGGCGTCAGCCTCTGCAGCTCCACTCCATCCCCAGGGAAGCCCCCAACCCAGTAAAAACTGCATGGGCAGCAGGAGGGGAGGAAGAGAGAAGCCCCAGAAAGAAGCTGCTCATGGGAGGGGGGAAGGGAGGAAGACCCAGCCCCTTGACAGAAGCTGTGCAGGGGATGAAGCCCCAGACCCCCCACCATAGTTCTCTCTAAGGGAAACAAGAATTTGAGTCCCACCCATCTCCTCAGCAGGGCTGCCCAGTAGCTGCTCCGGGGTGGAGTCTTGTGGCAGGCAGCTGCCCCACCTCAGGGGCCGGGGCCAGAGCCGCTGTGTGGTGGGTGGCGACAGCTTCGGTGGCTGGGGTCAGAGCTAAAGCCGCCATGTGGCAGGCAGCCGTAGCAGTTCCAGCAGCCAGGGCGAGAGCTGCTGTGTAGCAGGTGGCAGCAGCAGTTCTGGCAGCCGGGGTTTGGGCAACATAGTGGGCAGCCACGAGGCGGGCAGCTGCCCTGTCGCAGGGTGCTATAGCCAGGGCGTGAGAGGGAACTGGGCATAGGTGTTGCTGGGCAAAGGGGGTGGAGGGTACTGGTCAGGGGGCAGGGTGGCTGGATATGCTGGAATCGCAGGGGGTGATTGTAAGGGGTTGGGGACACATCTGGTAAAGGGTGCTCAGGATGAGGATGCAGAGCTTGGAGAGCCCATGGATGCTGGAACGGTGGGAGCAAGGCTGGGTAGGAGTGGGATTGGGTATCAAGGCGGGTGGTTTTCAGGCTGGGTGGGTGCAGGGTCATGCACCTTCTTAATTAGCCCATGTTTTAGTATTTGTTCTTACAAAACTATGTATACATTTTAATATGTATACACTGGTGGATTTACTGGTGGGTGCCACCGTGGTACATATCCGAGCAAGAGCACATGATGTCAATATACCAAACTCCCTACCATGACAGATGGAAAATCTTAGAGGGAACACTGCCCCCTACCCAAGCAGAAGCCGCAGGGGGGCAGGGGCTAGCCTCTGCCTTAGTTGCATAGAGCCCCACAGAGGAAGGACAGCCCTGGCCATGCTGTAGGGTGGGCAGAATCATACAGCATTCAGTTAGGACCTCTGAGAGGGCTAAGGAGGCGGGTAAGAGAATGTCTCCCATTGGTAGTGAGAAGGAGGTGGGAATCATGTTTGGGAACAGAGAATGTGATACGTAGTAAAAACTATTATAACTCATCTTTGGTCCCTCAGGCTATGTCTACACTGCAGAGTTTTTGTGCAAAAAAGGCTGTGTATGCACAAAAACTCGCGGAGAGTTCACACCTCAAATGCATTTTTGCACAAGAAAATTTACAGTGAATTAACAGAACAGAAGGGTTTTTGCGGTATAGGTACTCCTCTTTCTGAGAGAAATAACTCGTTTTTGCGCAAGAGCTCTTATGCAAAAAGGTGTGTGTGGACAGAAAACGGGGTTTTTTTGCGCAAAAACAGCCTATCGAAAGAAGCACAGATGCCCTGGTGGCCATTCTGTTTATGGCAGCAGAGCTTTCTTGCACGAGAGTGACCATGCAGTCTGGATGCTCTCTTGTGCAAAAGTGCATTGCTTTTCTGATGTGCTTTTGCAGTGTGGACATGCTCTTGTGCAAGAAGTTTTTGCAGAAGATCTCTTCCACAAAAAGCTTCTTGCACAAGAAGCCTGCAGTCTAGATGTAGCCTCAGTGGAGAATCATGAAGGCAAGCCACCTGATTCCTAATATTCTAAAAGTAAAATTCAAGATGATCATATAAACCATCTCCAACAGCTGCAGGGTTTGAGCAGAAATGAATGTGACAACTTGGGCCCAGACAATAAGCCAACTAAATGCCTACTATGTCATTGTACTATAAAAATATATCCAGTAAGGTTTTGATAAAACTTGCAATGTTCTGAACTTGGTCATTATGAGATATAAATACAGAGCCTGATTATGAATGTACGTATGCATATACACAGAAAACTGAAAATTGTAACTGCAACATTAGCATCACCTCATAATAAGGCGATGAAGCAATCAATCAGGAATAGTCCAGCTCCCAAGCCAGATGCTTATATTATATCAGCTTCAAGTACCCATCCATTGTCCAGCCTTGGAAAGGACAACGATAGATTATTCAAGTTAATGGAAAGACATAGATACAACTGGGAATGTTCCCTATCTGAATAACCAGAAGTCATCACAGTCTGAGAAGGAAAAAAAAAAGAGTAAACATCTTTTTTTAAAGGGGTCTTGAAGTAGAAGTTTTATTCCAGAAACTGAGGGACCTAGTGGGAAGCGATCTGGAAACACTGGGTCGGCATCTAGACTGGCAAGTTTTTCCGCAAAAGCAGAAAAACTTACCAGCTGTCTACAATGGCCGCTTAAATTTGTGCAAGAACACTGACGACCTAATGTAAGATTGTCAGTATTCTTGCGCAAATACTATGCTGCTCCCGCTTGGGAAAAAGTCCTCTTGCGCAAATGCTTTTGCGCAAGAAGGCCAGTGTAGACAGCTAAAAACTGTTTGGTGCAAAAGAGCCCAGATGGCGAAAATGGTGATCGGGACTTTCTTGAGCAAAACCGCGTCTAGATTGGCACGGATGCTTTTCCACAAAAGTGCTTTTGCGCAAAAGCGTCTGTGCCAATCTAGACCAGTGGTCCCCAATGCGGTGCCCGCGGGCGCCATGGCGCCCGCCGGGCTATTTCTGTGCACCCGCCGAGTGAACGGGGCCAGCCCCGGGCACACAGCGCATGGGCTGTGCCGGCCCCCTGGGCGCACAGCATACGGGCAGCATCAGCCCCAGACGCACACCACATGGGCAGCCCCGCCCCCCCGCTCGC